AAGAAAATATCTCAACCTAATGAATGGAATATATGACGAATGAGCTAACATCATACTTAATGGTCTAAGACAGAAAGCTTATTTTTTGTTTTCAGATAGGATTTTAATAATATGTTAGGAAAACACTGTATAAAGGTTAAGGAAGAAATCAAGTGAAATTTAGAAATTATGAACATTACTGGTATATGTAATTTTCTGCTAATATACCATTGGGTATATATCTTCAGTGTGCATGGGTATTATAGTGGATTTCATAGTTTATATATTATGAATAATGTTTGCTTTAACATAGGGATACAAATATTTTAAATTTAATGCTTTTATATTCTTCATATAAATGCCTAGGAGAGGTATTAATGAATCATTTGTGCAGAATTTCCATCCTTATGTTTTAAGGATTCCCCATATCATTTTCTGTACAGGTAATAGCAATTTACAGTTGCATGAAAGGTATAGGAACTAGGGTTAGTTTTCCTGCATATCCTCATAAATATTTATTGTCACTCTCTCTCTCTTTTTCTTTTTTTTACATAGGCCATTCTCACCTGTGTAAGGTCTATCTCATTTCTTTCCAATTGTCAGTACTTTTAATGTAATTTTGTATGCATCAAATTGTAGTAAAAAGACAATTATCAACAATAGACAGCCCCTCTTTTTTTATGAGTAACACACGAAATTACAGTAAACCAAATTTATGTTTCACTGTCATGTGTGGTTCTCCCACTAACTCACTTTGTGATGGATCATTGAGAATATTCTTCCAGTCCCATAGTATCATCACCACCCATCAAATATCCAGGGAGAGTTTTGAGCTTGGAAGAAATTGGAGACATTGAACCTGCTGCACTGTGTTGAATACCATTTGTAATTTTAATGGAATAAATAGACTCTGAATGTTTCTTTGTGTGGAAAATTAACTTTATCTTGATTAAGCTGACTTTTTTTCCTGATAGTTCGGAAGATGATAGGGGAAAACTTCATTTCTGATACAAGAAAATCTTGTCAAAAAGGTCATGGTTTTTCAAATGGTCTGCTTACTGAATATTCAGTAACTAGAATACTATCCCTCATCTGAGATCCATGTCCCCTTATCTTCATCTTTTTATTACTCTGGCTCTTTTTGGTTTTGATTTGCTTATATCTCAATAAGTGATATTGAACATACTTTTTTTAATGTATGCAGGTCATCTCTACATCATCTTTAGAGAAATGTCTATACATTGTTCACCCACCTTTTCATTATTGCTTATTTTTCTTATTTGTTTTTGAGTTCTCTCTCTATATATATTATATTTATATTACTCTTATCAAATCACCATTAAAGTAGTTATTTAAAGCAACACACAATTTCTGTAGTTCAGGAATTCAGAAAAGGTTTATCCGGATCCTCTGCTACAGGGTTTCTCAATGACTTCAATCATGATCCCAGTGATCAACATCTACTTCCACTGTTTTAGTAGTTGTTAAATAAGATTTAGTTTCTTATGGACTACTCATTGGAGGCTTCTCCAAATTCTTTGTCACATGCCTGTCCAACATGGCTGTTTGCTTAGTCAGAACCAGCAAGGGAGAGTGTAGCAAGAAGACAGTCACTGTCTTTTGTAACCTAATCTCAGAAATGGCATTCCATCATGATCGTATAACTCAATTCATTACAAGTAATTCACTATATTGGGTCTGCATTCAAGAGGATTGATGTGAATGCTAAAAGGTGATGGAGTGTTAGGAGTGATTTTTAAGAGTAAGAACCCTTCACCTGAATGAGGAGATGATTTCGCAGACTGAGAAGAAACTAATAACAGTGCCTGTTTCAAAGAAAGGAATGTAAGCAGTCTCCTCTGTTCAATTCACTTCATCAGAGCCAGAGCAAGGGAATTTTACTGGACTGGATTCATAATGGGAATAGCTAGCACTTGTCTGGCAAATAAAAGGACAAATCAAGCACATCACTGAGTAGTTAACTTCAGAATCAGAAGAAAAAAAATATTTGATATCAGATCCAAGAAGCTCTTTGGGGGGTTGTAGTTAAAGAAGGATACAAGGTCAGAATCCCAGGAGTACTGAGTCATCATGAAAAGCAAAAGTGTAGGCCAGGAAAAATCTAATATAGCCACAAGCAAAGCAATCATAGCTAACACTGTCTTGCTGTGGGCAGCACTCCTTGGCTTTAAATAGGGAGAGTTCATATCTTTTCTCTCTCAATTATCAAGAGGTGATCAAACATGGTTGTGCTTTTGTTTTAAGTTCAAATAAATTAACGACCAAGTAAAAACATTGAAATTGGAACTTTTCTAAATGAAATCATCATTAGAAAGATATTCCTTGGTTGGGGCCAGTGTTACATATTTTCTCTCATAATGCATGATTGTTCTTTATACTTATTGCTATTTAAATTTTCTTTCAAAATAATTTCTAGTAGGAAGCACCCACCATGGATCATTTTATACCAGATGCTGTGCATATATCAATGAGGTGTGTAATTTAGAATGAATGTCAATACCACTGATGTCCTCTGATGTTTAAATATATTATATTTTCAACATTAACTTATTTTAACCTTAATGACACATTTTTCAGGGCCAGAACGATAGTACAATGTGTAGGGAACTTGCCGCACGTGGCCACCTTGGGTTTGATCCCTATCCCTACATAAATTCCCCTGAGGCACACCAGGAATAATCCCTGAGCACAGATCCAGGAATATGCCCTGAACACTGCTGGGGCTGACCAATCCCACATTCCTTTTAGCACTTTTCCCTTAAGGGCTAGAGCAATAGCACAGCGGTAGGGTGTTTGCCTTGCACACAGCCAACATGGCTGACCCGAGTTTGATTCCTCCGCCCCTCTCGGAGAGCCCGGCAAGCTACCGAGAGTATCTCGCCCGCACAGCAGAGCCTGGCAAGCTCCCCGTGATGTATTTGATATGCCAGACACAGTAACAACAAAGTCTCCAATGGAGACGTTACTGGGCCCGCTCGAGCAAAGTATCAATAAATAATTAATCTATAAACTGAAATATCTTTCTACCAAATTTATTAGATTGGTTACTTATTACTAGGCTTTAACTTTAAAAATTATTACACAATCATTTGATAGATGATGCAACTAAAGTTATACTGAAAACAAAGCACTCACTTGAGGAAAAAGAAACATAGCCATTATTAACTTCCTTTTGTACTTGCTTCCAATCATATCTTTGGTCAATTACAAAATATGCCAATTACTTTCATCTATTTTCTTTTAAAGTCCCAGCAAGTTAACTGCTTTTACTCTTATTTTGTGGGTTTTATTCATTTACCTATGTTTAATTTAATCCTAGGCTTTTTAATTATTATTACACTCACACTAATCTCTTGGCTTCTTTCATTAAAGTTATACTTTATTGCTACTGAGTCATAATACAGTTAGTTTAACTTTTTCATTTTTGTTAGAACTGAGTGGACAGCAATAAATCAATCCACACAATTTAAATACCTATTAAAATTTATATTGCCAAACCCCAAATTGCAGTTATGCTTATCCAAAAAGGGCTTGACATTTTCTTCTTATATCATCTACTAGAGATAGGTAGATCAGTTGTAGGTGAAAGTAAACATGGCATGTCTGTATTTGTAGTTATCTTTCATTATTTAAAAATATTATAATTTTAAAGAAGCTATCTGTCCTAAATCCTAAAGTTCATGATTTTCAAGGTATTATAGCATTTTTTCAAAATATTTTCACTGATTATCATGTTAACTGAACTCCATTCTCATATGATTCCTAAAGATTGTTTGATGTCAGACATATGTACATGTGTGTATACACAGATGTGGGACATAGACAAAGATAAATATTATATGACTAAAAAATTGTTTCAGAAATCTTAAAAAGTAAAGGCCTTAGGTGTTCATGATAAATATGTAAGTGTGTGTGTGTGTGTGTGTGTGTGTGTGTGTTTATTTTCAGCTGGAGGGGTGGATGAATCAGACAAGAGTGTTCCTCAAAAGAGCTACATTGGGAGCTGGGCAACAAAGTATGAAGAAATTTAAATATCAGAGTGATGTTATCTGTTATTTGTAATGTGTGAAAATACTGGATAATTAATTTTACCTGTACAATAGGTCATGCTTGCCCAAGAGTAATGAGGAATCTTTACAAAATAAAACCTGAAATAATTTTTCTTTATTGAATACAATAATAATCTGAATGACATGCTGTGCTTACAAGTATATCTTGTGTATGTTCATTACAACAGTTTGGGGGTTTTGCTATTTGTAATTCCCAACAATAAATAAAGAGATTTTCCTATTTCTTTCTAAGAAGTTTTGAATTTGGAAATCAAGCCAAGGAGTGCTAAAAGGAAATACATGTGAAAAAAATAGTACACTAGTCAAATTTTAAATGCTATCAGTTGTGTTAACTTCTAAGAAAAAAAATAATATGTATAAATACTGGGCCTCATCTAAATTCACTTTTCCAAGTACATATTGAGGTGGTAATATTCAATATACCTGCATGGTATTGTTGTTTTGTCTTATTTTTTCCCTGTGACCCTTAAAATATATTTAGGTAATAGCTTTTGTACAAATTATCTTTGATTTTCCTATTCTTTGAAATAAATCTTCCTGATGTGGGTTTAACATCAATCCACATAATGGGAAAGAACAAATTTTTGGACTTTTGAAAACTGGGGAGTCCCCACAGTGCTTTATGATGGCCTGTGCTACCAATGTGGAATATCAATCTCAATAAATGCATTAAATTCTTAAAAGAAGTAGAAAAAATGATGATTTGGATTCTGAAATATTGATTAAAGTCACAATTTGATCTGTTAAAGTCCTCAGTAGACTGTAGGAAGTTACAAGAAAGAACATTCTAAGAAATAAGATGAACTAGGTAAATACTACTTAGCAGATCCTCTATCTTGTTTGAAGATGAGGTGAACATTTCAAAAGGGAAAGTATTTGGAAAGGGAAGGGATTGTGATTTAATCACATTATGTCTTATTACTCTTCTAGGATCTCATGACTCCTTCAGCTTCTACATTGATGAGGCCTCTCCAGTTGGGCCGGAACAGCCAGAGACTGTCCAGAATTTTGTTTCCGTGTTTGGAACTGTGGCCAAAAAGCTGATGCGGAAGTGGCTAGCCACTCAAACGATGAACTTTACTGGTCAACTAGGAGCTGGTATCCGTTATTTTGATCTTCGAATTTCTACCAAGCCCAGAGACCCCGACAATGAGCTCTACTTTGCTCATGGTTTGTTCAGTGCCAAAGTCAATGAAGGCCTTGAAGAAATCAATGCATTTCTCACGGATCACCGCAAGGAGGTAGTCTTCTTGGACTTCAACCATTTTTATGGGATGCAGAAGTATCACCATGAAAAACTGGTCCAAATGCTGAAAGACATCTATGGAAATAAAATGTGCCCAGCTATTTTTGCCCAGGAAGTTAGTCTACAGTATCTATGGGAGAAGGAGTATCAAGTGTTGGTCTTCTACCATAGTCCAGTGGCTCTAGAAGTTCCCTTCCTCTGGCCCGGGCAGATGATGCCAGCACCCTGGGCCAACACCACAGACCCTGAAAAACTGATTCAGTTTCTTCAGGCATCTATCACTGAAAGAAGAAAGAAGGGCTCTTTTTTTATATCTCAGGTGGTGCTGACCCCTAAAGCTAGCACAGTCGTCAAAGGGGTGGCCAGTGGCCTCAGAGAAACAATCACAGAAAGGTGAGTATCCTGAAGTTATTAGGGGCAAAGATTAGGTGATCTAATCTGTATTTGTAAAGTAAGTAGTGGAGCTAAAGTTCATACCCATGTCTATTAATTTCATTAAAGTTTCCATAGAAATGCACCATAAACTGGGTAGTTTAAAACTAAAATGTGTTGTCTCTCACATTCAAGTATGAGAAGTCTCAAATGAAGGTGTCACCAAAGTTGATTCCTTGTTAGGGATATTGTTGAAGGGGAATTTCCTTAATGTTTTCCCTTTGCTTCTGGATATGCTTAACAATCTTAGGTGTTCCTGGGCTTGAAAATATATCATGCTCCGTGCCCCCCTGTTTCTTCCTCCATGTATATGTGGACTTCACTCCATGTCTGTCTTATCTTCATATAGAATAATTATACTGCATTTTAGGACCCCCCTTCTAATCTGATTTTTAACTTGATTACATCTTGATTCAAGTGGGTGACATCATGTTTCTCAAAAAAGATTCACTTATAAGTTTAGGAAAATAGGACTCTAACATACTTTCGATAGGATACATGTCAATCAATAGGCACCATATATTTTGCTGCCCTTTCTCTTTTCCCTTTCATAGTACTCCTTTTCATAGTTGCATCTCTCTTTACATATAGCAAAGCCCATTTTTCACCCTTTAGAAACTCTTTCTTTCATTGGAGCATCTTTAACATGCTAGCTGCATTTATTCCATCTACCAAACCTGGGAAGTAGATATAATCTTAAAGGTACAAATTGAGGGTCAGTTTCTGGGGAGGTAGTACAGTGTTAAGGTACATGTGATTGACTCCGGTTTAATTCTAGACAGTACTTTTTTGGTAAGCATTGCCCATGTATTCCTGGACCTCCCCCCTTCCCCCATCCTCACCCCAAGTATCATGAGGTACGATCTTAGAGGCACCAAGCATTGCCAAGTGGGCTAGTAATGCCCTACATTCCAGGACCCAAGCAACACCAGTTTCTCAGGTCTTTCATTTGAACAGCTGCCTGATTGGTCAAAAATTGCTAGAAATACCCACCTCCACTTAACATGTTTAGAAACCCCCTTTCCACCCACCTCGCTTGCCAATTGCAGTTAAGGAAAGTCTAATGTTTTGTCTAAGATCACATGAACAGTGCATGATGAAAGTTGAAGGTCTTTTATGGTTTTTTTAAGTGCTATCTATTTCTTTACACTATTTTGTGGGCAAGAATCAGTCTGCAGAAACAAAGCCAGCCACATATGTACAGTGGTGTTCATGCAGAGGCCTAATATAAGCAATTGTCAAAGATCTTTGTAGCACTTTCCTATGTGATAAAAATATAGAATTAAAACTAGTATTTATTCTTTTGAGTTAAATTATTAAGTCTTGATAACATTGTATGAAGAAAAAAACAGTAGTAGAATTTTTATTGTTTAATTTAATTGATATCTTAATTAAGATGAAGGTACAGCATGATGATGTTGCCAGGACTCAGGTTGTTGTACGTGATCAGAACATGAAGAGAAAGGGCTTGAAAGTAGTGTAGGTGACAATTTAATATAGCGTATAAAGTAGAAAATGGAAGGAAATACAGGTGTAATGGGGCAGGAACACACTTGCAAAAAAAAGTCTTTGACAGTTTACAAAGAACTTTACTTCATGAGTAAACAAGAAAATGACAATGAGCAATAGAGTAACTTACTCCAGACTTCTTTTAGGTAGATTAATAGACACAGAGTGGAGGATAGAGGGATCAGAGTTCAGAGGTATTTGGAACTATTTTAGCAAGATTATGCAAGCTGTAGTTAAAAAATGAGAAAACACATTTTTGCTATGACATATAAACAGCATCGCACAAAAATCAGCATGATTTGGTGACTGGCTCTATGACGTGAATGGGAGAAAAGAGTTAAAGATAAAGACTCTTCTTGAGAAGGCGAATGAGTATGGAGGCATTGCAGATAAAAAAAAAACAACACTGAGTGGGGGCAGTGAGATAGTACAGTGAGTAGGGCTTTTACCCTGCATTCAGCTAACCTAGATTCAATCGCTAGCACCCCATTTGTTCCCTCAAGCCTACATAAGAGATCTCTGAGTGATTAGGCAGGAGTAAGCTCTGAGTAATGCAACCAAAATAATAATAATAATAATAATACACTGGGTCTCAGACAGGAAATAAGGAATAAAATGTCAGGCATTCTAAATGTAAAGTGCTGAGGTTGGAGTGATAGTATAGCAGGTAGGTCTTTACTTTGCAAACAGTGACCTGGGTATGAAACCTGGCATCCCAAATGCTTCCCAAGCACTACCAGGAGTAATTTCTGAGTGCAAAACCAGGAGTAATCACTAGCATTGCTGGATGAGGCCCCCAAACCAAAATAATGTAATAATAATTTTTAAAAATTTAAAGTACTAGTGAGGCATCTGGGTAAATGTGGCCAATTGATTATTTAAAATAAAGGATAATTTTTTTGGCATTTAGGTCAGTGAAAGTAAGTCATTAGAGTAGAGCGACTTCTTCAGACAGTCTCTCCAGACAAACTACTTTCTGTCATTCAGATATTGCCTGGGATCTTTCCAATCTTTGAGATACAAATAAAGTACCCAAGTCTTCGTTGTAGAAGTCATGAAAATATAAGAGTTTCATTATTTATGCTCTATAAGGATTTCTAATTTTTGTGGGTAATGATTACACAGAATTGCCTTGAAATTATTACTTGTGGGTTGCATTATTGTATGAATTGATTATCCTGTGTGGCCTGTCCATACCCCATTCTTTCTAACCTGAGTTATGAAAATGGCTTCTTGCTCAATTTCTATATGGGTTTTTAGAGTTTATCATAAATGTGAGTAGACTAAGGAGATCTTATGATAAAAATAATTATAGTCTAAAATTAAATTATAGATTTGTCTGCAGTACAAATCTTCTGGACTAGGATATCTCCCTTGGGTGACATTTATACAACTTTCCACCCCAGCCTCAAACTCTCAGACCCAATACTCTGCTCCAGTTCCTTTTCCTTGTCATTTCTCTATGTCTTTACCCACCCCCATATTGCCTTAGAGTCTTTACAGTTTCCTACAGATACATCAAGCTATTCTCAACAATTTACTCACTCCTATTTCTGTCTACACTTAACTGCTTCTTTCAAAGTTTTCATTAGTGTAAGAAGGCTTTTTACTTTTTTAGTACACATTCCACAAAAGTTTGTCATTCTAGAAAATAACAACTTAGCAGCTTTCTTTCTTACTCAAAACGGATGGAATATATCATTTAAATTTGGAATTCTGTTGTTCTCAAGTTCATAATACAGAACTTCTAGATTTTGAGACTTTCCTGAAGCCCCACTGAAGGGAATTCAGAGGTAGGAGAGACCAGGGATCTCTCCAATTCTTTTTCTCTCACCCCCTTGAATGTAAGAAAGTTTATTCAGATTCGTTTACATATTGGACATAAAGGAGTATTTCCATGGTCTTTCTAACTTTACCTTTTGTTATTTGATTCTATGCTTAGCAAAACTTGTATTCATATAATAAAGGTAAAGGTAAAGGTAAAGGCCCTCCCGTTGATCGTCGATTTGCTCGAGCGGGCCCAGTAACGTCTCCATTGGAGACTTTGTTGTTACTGTGTCTGGCATATCGAATACTCTCGGTAGCTTGCCGGGCTCTCCGAGAGGGGTGGAGGAATCGAACTCGGGTCGGCCATGTTGGCCGCTTGTAAGGCGAACGCCCTACCGCTGTGCTATCACTCCAGCCCCATTCATATAATAGATATGCTTTGTACTCAGCTAAGAATCACACCCTAATTGTCTGTGTATGTGGGGAGGAGGGGTTGAATACACCCTAGGGTGTCAAGAAGAGTAGGCTTCTCAAGGAATTAAGACTTTCATTTTTGTCTCTAGGGACATATCATGAAGTTTAGGGACTTGTGAATTATAAATCAAACTAGTCTTTTGGTTATTTATACTCTAGCACATTATTAATAAAGTAGGATTTGTGGGGGGAAATAATCAAATAAGTTAGGAAAGTACTGAATAATATATTAAACATCTATCTAACCCTCCCTGAAAATTCACAGTGCTCATCAGCACATAAGAGCTCTCAGTAATATTCTACTGAAGTGTCCTGTTTAAACTTAATTGATATATCATTGGACAGATTTTCAATATTTTTCATGTGACACTTATGATAGTACATTGTTAATCCATTTTTAAAACTGTGCTCAGCCATCTACTCTAATTCAGAATTTTCACTTGCCTCTGTCTTATCTATTTGGAATTGATGTTATATCATTGAAAGAGAAAGAAGATGCAAAGAAATAATTTCAGAAGAATAAAATTGACTCTTTAAATACAATCAATATTTTCCTCTCTAGAGAGAGAATATTGCAAATGTGTTTTTTACAATTTTGAATATTGTTTGCAAAAAATTTGCAAGTATATCCTAACTCATACTTGTGCTATAAGCATTCTTATATGTGTTTGTCTTAGAATTACTGAGAATTGGTTTACCTTCATTAAACTGATGGCAAAGCCTATGTTTGGAGTATAGAGTTAAGATGAAGCCCTGGGTTTTATTTCATTTTGACATATTTTAGGTTTATGAATGATATATTTTGGAGAAGGTCATTTTCATTTCTTAAACTGTGTTTTGAAAAGGCATTTACTTAATTCTGTGAGTCCATGAAAGACCACTGAACTCCCCTGTTATACTACTTTCTTTCTCTTCACAAAGTAATGAAGCCCATAAAGTCTTTTCCTATCCTTGTCCTTGCTATTCTACTCACTCAGAAAACCCTATGTTAACACCAAAAGGTGTAATGAGACTCCTTTGCCACCAAAGGAGAAATCACTAAGCAATTAAAATACCTTCCTGGGCTTTTTGCAATTTTTAAAATTACAGTCATTTAATTTTTCATAATTTTTATCATGTCTAATATTTGAGTTAACAAAACTCTGAACACATGCATTTAGAAAATAATGTTTGAAGATGTGGGTGGTTTTTAGGGAAGCTAAATTGATTTC